GGAGAAACCAGCCTGCTCGGCGCCATTTTAAAAGCCTCTGAGTAAATAATTTTTCGGAGGAGAAAAAGAGAAGAAGCTAAAATGTTGATAAGCAATTATTGTCCTCGCAGTAAACGGATTCAGCTCGTGATAAGATTAAATCAAACAAAACTTAGAGCAGAGTGGGAGAGACCTACTTTGTCCTGCACAAGGCAGTTTGAAGTTCCCAGCACGGACAGCCGTTCTGCCTTGGGCTAGCCCCCCTTTCCTTGCAAGCACAAAAGCTGCAAAAATCGAAGAGCATTTGCCAGCAAAACAGTTTCTTCTTTCCCTCTTGCCTGAAGGATAAGAAAACCTGATAAGACGTCAGATGGAAGATCCTCTAAACAGGTACGTAGCCAGGAATTCGGAGGCAGCTGATTTTTTGCTGCCCCCACCAGTAAGCTCCTCCCAGGGAGTCCGTTGTTGTTGTTGTTGTTGTTGTTATTAGCTTCATTTCTAAAAATCACACAAAACACATTCCCTGACTGCACAATGGAGAAGATTCTATTTTATTTTTGATTGGAAAAGTAAAAAAAAACTCAGGATGTCAGATAACTAAATACTGGTTATAATTTATACAAAATTATTATTACATCTAATATTATATTGGCACCCTACAAATAAACAATCTACTATAACCATTTGTTTGAAATGGTATTGAGTTTCCTGCTTGAGCAGTAGGTTGGACACGAAGACCTCCAAGGCCCCTTCCAACTGTTATTCTATTATAACAGTCCAGACTATACAATAGATTGATTCCCGAATTAGTTATATCGTTCTATACATTACAAGCAATACTCAGCGGCAACAATATGTAAAAAGTCAGCACCCATTCTCCTAGAGAAGAAAATATTTTGGGGAATATTAAAAAGGCAGGATAGAATATTTCCCCTAAAGGAGAAATGGGTGGGTGGGGGGAATCTTAAGGGAGGCAGAAACCAGCACCAGTCTGCCTGCCCCAAGCAGAAACTGAGGCCAGCTTTTAGAAATGCAATTTGGTAATCCATTCAGAAAGACTGGGTCAGACAGAAATTCCAGATAAACAATTAGGCAAGACAAGATTAACTCAAACACCTAGTATTTGTATTTTGTTATGATTCAGTGGGTTTGGTGGTCACATATATGTGATTCTTGTCTTCATCTGGGATTTTTTTTTCCCCTTCATTTTTTAGTCTAACCGATAACCCTGACATTTCTTCATTGACTCCAATCCAAGCACTAACCAGGCCAGATCCTCTCTAGCTTTTTAAAATCAGCCAAGATCTTATGGACAATATTTTTTTTAAAAAAAGTTATTTTGTCAAGCATGAATTACACAAGATATAAGTATAATCATGATTATGAATACATGAAATGAATACGAATACAAGGGAATATTAAAACAGGGACAGTAGGCACGCTGGTGCGCTTATACAGTAGGAATGGTGCGTTTTTAAACTGTTTTTAACAAGGCTCCGCTCAGCCTCATTCTGTTAATAGTTATTTTAACTATTAACTGTTCATCACAAAACTCTGCGATTTCTCCCGACTTTGACTTTAGATTGCCGTTACAAAACCTAATATCTTCCCATTACCAAAAAAATAATATACGCGAACAGTGCAGGCTTTTTAAAACAATCCCTTACGAAAAAGGTTCCGTACAATTTTCACGGCTCATTTCAACAATACGGGCCAACCCAAACATATACAAGGCGGGCTTAAAGATGATCCTGACGCTTTTTGGCGCCAAATCTCTTCCTGGCGGAGGTGGGGCCTAGTGACGTCACGCCAGAGTACGTGCTCCAGCGTCTTAAGTGATTGGTTACGTTTTCCTGGCCCCACCTAACCCCCCGCCGGTTTGGCCTGTTACGGGTGGGGAATGGAGGGGGTAAATCTTGCGAGAAAAGCGAGAAGATGAAGTCCCTGCAGGTTTGAGGGTGGTGGTGAGGGGGAAGGTCGGGTCCGCCACGCCCGTTGAGCCTCGGAAAGGAACGGCAGGACTCGCCGCTTCACTCCGGTTCGTGAGAGGGATGGAGGCTTGATGGCGGGGTCGTTGGGGGAGCTGTGGCGGGCTGGCTGTGCTTCTTCTGAACCCTCCTATCTCTGCTCGGAGCATCCGCTTTCGCCTTTCCCAACCTGCTTGCCTGCCTGATGTTTCTGTGGCCTCGGAATACCCGTCATTCCGGCCAGTCTCTTAGGCTACTACCGGCATCCGGAGGGCACCAAGACGTGCCAGCTCCACACCCACGCTTCACCCCGCTTTCCGTCCACTCGGCCCGGTCAACCCTGGGCCTGGCCGAGGAAAAAGGGGGATTTCTGAAGTGACAAAATTGGGTTTTTTAGCCTTCCTCAGGCTTGAATGAGGGCCCTGTTACGCGGCGTAAACAAACCTTCACGGTCCGTGAGGAAAGTGGCACTAGGGCAGATCCGGTCGGGCCCATCCATCTTCGACCCGTTTTCCCTTCTTTTGCTTTTCATATTAGCTCGGGGAACAATATAGCTGCCTCTGCTTCACGTCCAGAAACAACAACCAGCCTCTCAAGGCTCCGCTCAGCTTCATTCTGTTTCTGATAGAGTTTGTTTGTTTGTTTATTATTTTTTCAAATCTAATCCTACCCAAAGGTGCCTTTTTTTTTCCTTTCCAAAAGGCAACATGAGTTGTTTTTCCTTGAAGACATTTCACTTCACATCCAAGAAAAGCTGCTTCGCTCAGTTCCAAAATGAAGAAGCTTGTTGGATGAGAAGCCTAAACATCTTCAAGGAAA